CTCGGCTAGCACAGATAGCCCTCGTGTAGCTTTTCGCGAAATTCATAACAAACAAACAAGCCACTACGGGTATCTAAAACCCGGTTTCTAGCGATATAAGTCCGCAGACTTACCGCTGTGCCACTGGAGGGGGAGGGGCTATACAATTTGTAGATGAACAGCGCATTGTATCTTTGATTTAACACAATAGTATGAAACTCTCAAGAGGTAAGTAAATTTTATATTATAGAATTGGATGCAAGATTATAAGCTAGTAGCGCATACAGATATTTAATCAATGATGTTTAAACAATAATGTTAGTACACAGAAATTCGTGTTTCAATCACCTGATTTCTGGTGAATGTGAAAGAACTGGAGCTCATTGCCACCAACAATTGAAAAAAGGAGATTCAACTGGTCAGTAGCATCCAAGTCCGAGGCCTCGACCATTGATACAAAGTGACCTCTTTTTGCCAGCTCGATTACTTCACACACGTAGTCCGAGTGTCCAAACTGAGGCGGGTTGTCGTTGAGGTCTTTCACGGTAACCCAAACATCCGCCGTGGTACTCAGAGATGGTGATCCATTATCTGTTGCCATGACGACGAAATGATGAACCGATTGCACCTCGTGGTCAAGGGAGTGTTTAATGATAATATTTCCTTCGATGGAATCGACGTGGAAATAAGCACTTGCTGTCCCAAGAACGCTGTACCGAAGCGCTTGGCTAGCATTCTTATCACGATCTCTTGCTTCAACCCGTAGAATAGTAGTCCCAAAAGGTGTCGCCTCCGAAATGGTCACGTTGTAAACATCCTGGGTAAAAGAAGGTGGGTTATCGTTGACATCTTCAACAATAATATTCACTAGAACTTGGAAATAAGCTCCAGTTGTAGAATCTGTGGCCCTTACTGTCAGGTGGTGTTCTGTGGTTTTTTCATAATCCAACTCATCGCCAACGTAAATGACTCCTGAAATAGGTTTACAAGAAGGATGATCAGAAACTGTGAATGAAATGAGTTTCAGAATACTTTATCTGGTATTAAAGTTAATTCAAATACGAAACATTAGGTGTAAGTTACTCCTGAAATAGGTTTACATATAAATATTACATATTTTTACATATAAGGTTTCGGACCAGGATGTAACAAGAGGTCATCTCTTTATACGTGTTGTATACAGTGGCCTGATGTAAACATTCCTAGAAAATTATACTATATCAAACATAACTTTGTAAAATACACTCAAAAAGAGGGAGAATACAGTTAACACTACACTTCACCTTAAGGGATCTTATGAATATTTACAAGTTAAAATAATCATGTAAATCTTGTTATATATCTAACAGGGCGTGTTGTCGAATATGATTTATTAAATACGTATAGCAAGATAAACATTTGGTGAATTTTATCCTGTTTAATGCATATCGATCAATTTTTTTGGTCTTCCGGGTACGAAATAAAACTGACCATTTTGAAAATCCACGTCAAAGAGGTTCTCTTCGTTTCCTCCTACAATGCTATAAAAAATTTGGTGACCATGTGGACTTTCTGCACCGAGAGACAAAACCGGTGCATTACACCGTGCACTTTCTAGGACCGTCACACTATAAAACTGCTGAGGGAAGGTGGGCATGTCTTGATGTATCACTTTAATATACACTGTGGCCTCGCTGCTAAGAGGCGGATTACCTGTAACATAATGGATGCAACTTTCAATGAGAAACTTTGTGATATTAAATTACTCTAAATAAAATTTTGAATCTTGAAATTTACTAGAAACCTTGCAACTCTTAGAATAAAACAATAACATATTTAATGACCCCCAAACAAACATTTATTTTACTGTATTCAATTATATTTTCTGAGTTATCTATACAATTGTTTTTCTTTTTAAATTTTAGTTAATAACTGTAGAGGCATGGCTGTGTTTAGTGGTACTGGGTCAATATTAAAAGCTTGATAAAAAAAAAGATACACACACACACACTTTGTTCAGGCCATATAGTTCAATAATTCTTGTTTTTTATAATAAAGTTTATTTGTAATAAAACACGAGCCAGCATCGAGCTCCATTGTATGTCTATTTCACTTTATCAAATCTGCAGAGTTAATAATGAGATAAAGGCTTAGGATCGTTGTGACCTACATATAAAACCCCCAAACTAATAAGACCCAACTTTATACATATACGTATATATATATACACAGAAAGGACTGTGTGTACTTATATATATATATATTCTCACCTCCATCGACGCCAGTTATTACCAAGCTATATTCCTTTATATCCGTCATGATTGAACGTTGAAGACGAACGTCGCCTAGCCTACTGTCGACGGCAAATATGTCTGTATTACTTCTCTCTCGCTCGAGCTTGTAGGTTATGAATTTGTTTAGCCCTAAATCTTTATCAACTGCTTGAACCTTACAAAAGAATAAAAAAGAAGAAAAAAAACTGTGAGAGTCGTTATGAAAAGCTTAAAATCAGCACGAAATTTCAAAATGTTATTATACAACGCTTCCCTACATTAGACTTGTACTGATGGAAATTACAATATTCTGAATTTTCATATTTATTTAACTTCCACATCATTATTATTATCTTCTGTTATCGGACATTATTGATTAGGGATAAGATAAATATTGAAAACACGTATGAAAAATGAGAAGAAGAAAAGAAAAATCTCAGCTTTGAATTTTCTTGGCTTTTTTTTTTTTTTACTTTCTGCTATCAGTAGCCTAAATCATAGTAAATCTGAAGCTACAGAAAATCTATCTAAGTGTTTGGTACAATACACTGTATTTTATTTCCATCCAGAATGTTCTCAAATATATATATATAAAAAACTCTAACTTAAATCAATATTTCTATACCTTCTCAGTGTACTAAATTCAAGCCAATAATAAGTCTTAAAGTCTATCAGAACAACTTCCACAAATCTTTCCCGATGTTAAATCGTTCGAAGTATGTTCGAGTGCAAATGTGGAAGTGTTCTTTTCTTAAAACGTGTGTTTAGCAACTTACAAGAAACGTTTTCGCTTCTGTTCGTGCTACTTTCCCCTAAATCTAGCAAATGCATTCAGGGAAAGACCAAAACCATTTCGAGTTCTAAAATTGACTTTTTTTCTTTTTTTTAGTACTTACAAGAGAGCGCTCGATAAAATTAGACGTTCTGAACATGTTGAAAATAGTGGTGATTTTTTCAGCCTCTGAAGCTAGCGTAACTTCAAATTCTGACATAAAAAGATCAATTATTCACGTTTGAATCATCTTGTCTCTTGTTACTGAGCGCCGTAACAAGAACTTGGCCAAGTGGTTAGGGCGCTTGACTCGCAATCAGAGAGTCGCGGGTTCGAATCCCCGTCCCACCAAACATGCTCGCCCTTTCAGCCGAGGGGGCGTTATAACGTTACAACTCAAGAGTTGGCGGTGGGTGGTGATTACTAGCTACCTTCCCTCTAGTCTTTCACTGCTAAATTAGGGATGACTAGTGCAGATAGCCCTCGTGAAGCTTTGCGCGAAATTCAAACCACAATACGTTAAACTTTACAGTAAAACCAAGGACATCAAAGATCAGACGAATTTGTCCTGTCTAAAAACTCATGCAGGTAGTTTTTCTAAGCAGGTATTATACCACTCTGTGTAATGTCTTTCAAATACGTTCAGAAGACTCCATAAATATTCTCCTCATATCAAGAGAAGATATATTATTGGGATGACTGCCGATATTGTAGTGTAAAACACACAATACAGTATATATTGGTTTAACTAACGAAGAAGATAAACTACACTTTTGGAACGAAGACCAGAAAACTAGTTTCAACACTTTCAAGTGTTCACTTCAGTCCCACACAGTATTCTGAGAAGCTGTGTGGGCAAATTTCTTTTTCAGAAGACTGAGTAGTACTGAAGAGGATGGACACACAAAAGTGTTGAAACTAGTTTCTTAGTCTTTTTTGGTATTAACAATTTTGTGTGGTTAAATGTTTTCTTTAATTTTACGCTGCGCGGAGGTAGAGGAGGACGTTCGCTTGTTTATGATGTCCAAAAAGATGCTGATAAAGTGCCAGATCCATATACTGCCGGAAAAAGTTAAGTTTTATTAACTGAAAGATTGAAGTTAAACTGCAGCCTTATCCATGATGTCCACAGGTTCACATAGAACAATCAGATAACCATCTATGACACGTAAGATGTTCAGTTTTAACAAGCAAGATATTCAAGTGTAACCAGTTAGTTTTAATTACTCGATCATAAGTTAAAGTCATTTTCTAGGTTTCTCGGATTCGCCATCTTGGAGTGTCTTGGAGCTTGAGGTTTTTAATTTTAACTCCATTTATTTTACTGATTTTGTTAATTTTCATCTTAAGAAACAAAACAAATATGAATAGGCAACTTACTCTCGTATCATCCATTAAATGCTACTTATCATCAGCTTGTTCACCAGGAAAAATGAGTACATAGTGAGTGTACATATTTGTGGTACACAAAACAGACGTTTCTTTTTCTAAGATTTTTATCGGGAAAATCTTATTATTTGATATATTTCTACACACAAAAAAAAACAACAACAAAAGACACTGATCTTTTATCGTTTCTGTAATATAATAATTTTTTGAATCGACCAGATAATTGATCTTACCTTGTAGATCATATCGCCCGGTTGAGCTTCTATCAATACAACAGCATAGTATGGCAAGTTGACGAAGACGGGGGCGTTGTCATTTATATCAATCACTGTAACTTCAACAAGCACGTGAGCGACCCGAAGTTCACCAGTGGCTTCACCTTTGACCTCCACCACTAAAATATAGATGTCTTGGATTTCACGGTCTAAACGTCGTCCAGTTGTTCGAAGGACCCCCGAAGTTGGGCCAATGGTAAACTTTTCGGATGGATTGAGAACACTAAATGTCAGATGTTCGTTTAAGTCAACTCCTAAAACTGTAATTACCGCAACCGTTGTAATTTCGGTAGAATTTTCTTGGATTTCGCTCACGTATCTTTCTTTATCAAATCTAAGTCCATTTCTATCAGTCTTTCGAACTCGGATTACCACTTTGGTGCTAGCTTCGAATATGCCGTCACTAGCGGATACAATTAAAGAATAGCTACTTTGTAAGGCACGTGGGCTTTCTATAAATATCTGACCTGAAGTCTCGTTAACAACAAATTTACTTGCAGTGTTCCCTGATACAATTTTATACTTTAGCACGCTATTCATTCTCGAGTCCATATCGCGAGCTTTTACTTGAATAACCATAACGTTTCTATAGGTCGGTAAAAAAATGGTGGCGTCATACCGACTGAGTTCGAACTGAGGGGGAGAATCGTTCGTATCAATCACGTGAATGTGGACACGAGCTGTGGTTTCAGCCCCAAGCCTTGGATTCCCTGTATCAAAGACCTGAACTTGGAAGTGAAATTCTGCCATTTTCTCGTGGTCCAGCTGCCGTGCTACGCTAATAGCTCCTGTAAGTAGATTATAATTACCGCTATGAGTGAAAAATGAACGTTGAGGCAGGTTATTATCGACGCATAAGAATTTCTTATTTTCGAAATTATATGTCTATTTTGATTAATTTTCAATAAAAAACACTCTTGGATATAATGCAGTTTAAACGTTTCAGTACTTAATCATTATTTAAATACCTTATACGGAATTTATTTTTATAGCTGTTTGTTATCAGATGGCGAAAAAGATTTAAACAGTATCAAAATATTTTCACCAGTAAAACCTCTTAATTGTTATTTTGAATATACAGCACTGCATTTTTCTGGCCATTTTAAGTTTAATGGAATATTTTTAAACCTAAAACTGTTCAAAAGAGGGAGCCACTTGCGATTAGTAAGCACTTAACGTTCTTTCAATCTCGTCTTTGTTTCCAACTGCAAAAATCGTTAGTTTTGTTTTAAAAATAAGAATAAGCGCAATTATAATTTCGTTAGCAATGACATCAATTTAGAAAATTGTCTTAATACTTGTGAATCGATTATAACATGAAAAGATTATAACGAACGTAGAAATTGGAACATAAAATTGTTTAGTCATTGTAAAGCTGTACAATGAGCTATCTGCACTCTGTACATTGCGGGAATCGAACCCATGAGTGTAAGCCGGTAAATTTGCCACTGACCCACCAGGGGACATATAACAAAATAAGCATGTTAAATGGTTATAATGTTTCACATATCCAATGAACTACAAAGTAACTTGTCGTCAAATATTCATCCGGGTTTATTTACTTGTATTATGGGAATGACAGCTAAATGTGCAAGGGTTAGTAGCAAGGTATAAAAACGATATGTATATTCTAATATAGTGGTATGTTATCGCAGATGTTAGGCATGAGAACATGGGCAACATGTTTAGTAATGATATATATATTTGGTTCACAACGAATTCCCAACCATTCACAACACTTTCAGGGGAAGAATAGTTAAACGATGTAGAAGCATTTCGAAGACAAAAGCTTTGAATGTCCCCAACATAATCGGAACAAGTCGCACACCACAAGCCAATTTGTGGCAACATCTTTGTCCACTAAGTTAAAGCTATGGTGACGAAAGAGAACCCTTTGACCCAATAGGTCATTACGACGAAGCTAAGCATGTCTCCTGGTACCGTTAAAAACAATAAACAATGATTGATTTTAATATAAAGTCACAAACCAAAAAGTTCACGTTTCTAAACATACATTCAAATCAAAATCGTTTTTCTTTTTTTCTTTCATGAGAAATATGACTGATTAAACTGAAATCACAACAATCTACTTCTTGTTCTAAATTATTTTTTTTTCTGTTTTCCATTTTGCAACAACTTGAGCTATGAATCTTCAGATTCACAGTATGGGCACGCTAGTCAGTATCCACGCCTAGCAAGTCGTTGAGTGTCTGTGGCAAGGTCTTCAAGATAACTGGTTTAAAAATGGTCCTTGCCCATATTTGCAAAAGCTAGCTATAATCGTAATATAATGGTGTTAGGTGATAATACACATTCACAGCCACCGCACTGAGCAAGATCGATAATGGACGAAGCACTTTGAAGGAAAATTATAGAGTGCTATTAATCCATAATCTCGGTAATTTTGGGACGAACTTTTCAAACAATATATCCCATAATGTTAAGACATTCTTTATATATATTGTTAAGATATAAGATTAATATTATAGAATAAAGACGATTATTAAACACCCATATTTCGTAGATTTCGAAAATAATATTCTTTTTTTTTCTATCACGTAAAGATTTTTCGCAGAACGGGAAGAAATTGAAGAAAAGGGAAGAACATTGATGTCAAACGAATATGCATTCTTATTCTTTCTGATTTTTTTGTGTGTGAATTCTACGTCTTTTAATTTCAAGACTACGTGTTGTGGTCT